CACACACACACACACACACACACACAGCAGGTATGGGATGCTATGCAGAGGACCATCAGTTGGGACAAGATGCATATAGACATGAATCAACAATGTGGCATCTTATGTGTCTCCAACATGGCTAAGTATCAATGGGTCCAGGTTAATAGGAGAAACAGTTGCAGCTTAAACAGAGGTAGCAGCCACAAGAAAAGCTAAAGGTGCCTGTAGTATGGGTACTCATGGTAAGATGCTTACCTGTCCATAACTCCTAGGATGCCATCCCTACATTTCCTGCACAAATATTAGATCTCTCATCCGTGTTCTATGGCAGTACTGGCAACACTCAGGCAAACCATTATAAAAGTAAAGGTTTTTTAATGCAAATTGCAACCATCACATCTAGAAGTTTTCATGTCCACTTTTGAAATTTGCTGGAACAGCACCAAACAAATATCCACAAACTTAGAAAAGCAAATTAATTTTAAAGAGTATCACACTTTATAGAAAAATAGCACTCTATTTTCATATGAAGCTTTAGATGAACAAATCACTGACAACAACTGCAATTTTGGATAAACTTTTCCTGTGACTGAACAGAAAATAATAGGGCTCATAAACAGACATTTAGAACTGTTAAAAAAAAGTCCTGTGACTACCTCTGGCTTCTTTCATAACCTTGATAAGTTACAGAAAATGTCAGAGGGAATATTAAAATGTCATTGCATAGATTAGCATTAAATTCAGTGTAACAGCAATAGAAGTGATCCCTGTGGTAGAATTGCTCCATGTCTTGACTGCTCTGATAAACACATGAACCTACACATGTAATAATATTTTAGGGAACTAAACAAGCAAGTACACCAATGAGGTCATTGTACTGTACTTATGTCCATTTCTGGTATTGTATTTATGTTGGTAACAATTGGTTTGAAGACAGAACTACTGAGGAAGCTGACCGAAGAATGCTTGGGCTCCCTGCGTCTTGGCACCTCCATGTCGCTATAATCATTTCAAAATACAAAAGTACAATTAAAAATTCCAACTCCGACAAGCATGAGACTGTTTTCTATGGTGTTAGGTCTTAATAAAAAAATCATTCTGTGTGAATCATCAACAACAGATGTACCAAATTTTACATTGTAACGTAATGTATTAAAAATCCATCCTAATGTTCTCACAGCCCAGGAAACATTTTTAATAGCTCCAGGAACAATTGTATCAACCAAAAGATCGTCTTTGCAAAATTAAAAAAGATATGAAAATATATTTGTGATCTTGCATTAGCCAAAAGCAATTGATGTCACTATGAATGTTATTGTTGAGGGTGGAGCTCAATATTGTATAAATTGTGCTAACCTAAGAAATAATTTGCAGAAGAGCACTGAAAACTAGTCAGTCAAGGTTAACATGTAATTGTTCATTGTATTTTATATCACTGTGACCCAAATATCATTTTTATAGCTTACAAGGTCTTAAGTTATTCAACTGTTACTATTACCTCATTTTGTTAATAATAAAATGGAGTAAAGGAAAACTCTTCATATTTTATTATCTTTAGCATTTTTTGTTGGGTTTGAATTAGAGATCGATCATTTTAGTTTTATAGTTGGCCCCATAAATAATGTAAGCCTTGATCTAGGGAGGTGGACAAGCTTTGAAAGCATTTGAATTTAAGATGGTCATGGTGGCCCACACTTGCACTCCTAAACAGTATGTCATATTTGTGATATAACAAGACCCCAGTCTCAGAATGACAAAACATACAAACACGATGCTTAAAATTTGTGCAAGAGAAAACATACTTAGCAAGTTTTTTTTTCCTGTAAAATTGAAATTGGAATAAGATTTTGAAATGGAACCAGAAATTTGCAAGTCATAATTAACACAAGCTAACTTTGGGGATTTCTAGAATGTCAACCAAGTTATGACTGTATTTCCAAAACATTCTTGTTTTTTCTTTTATAAAACACAGAAATATTAAAGACCACACACACACACACACACACACATACACACACACACACACACACACACACACACACACACACACACACACACATATATATATATATATAAAGTTGCATTCATAAAACCTGAGATATATATATAGTATTGACAAAAATTCTTGTATTGGGATTCTTATGCTTAGACTCACCTGCTACATTTCACAGTTGCAAATACAGTTACTAGAGAATTATGATTCCCTTGAAACATTAAACAAGACTCAACATTTATTCTTAACAGTGTTATTATGACACTTCTACAATTTTCTCAACTGGAATTCTACTTTTAAAAAACAGTCAACATAAAACTGGCTGGGAGTGTATGAACTGAACATGATGCTATTTCTGTTTTATCTTGATAGATTAGATTTGAACTTCATTGAGTCATTTGCTCAGCATCCAGTAGGAAGTTAGGTATAAGTGTTGTTTCCCAATGCTTCTGTGGCTAAGTTGCACTTATTTTTCCTTTTAGTATCCTACTGGCTCAGTTCATTTTCTTTTCTGTCATGTTTCAGAACGACTCTTGGGGAAAGCAATATTCCTACGCACTCTTCAAGGCTATGAGTCACATGCTGTGCATTGGCTATGGTGCCCAAGCGCCCGTCAGCATGTCCGACCTCTGGATTACCATGCTAAGCATGATTGTCGGGGCCACCTGCTATGCTATGTTTGTTGGCCACGCCACAGCTCTGATTCAGTCTTTGGACTCTTCAAGGAGGCAGTATCAAGAAAAGGTACGTCATATTCTCTCTCATATCTTCAGCCAGCCTCTTCACAAAATTCGAATTGTGTTCAAGCTAACAAACCAACACCCCTACATCAAAACAGTGAGGAGCTGCAGTATTTAAAAGAAATAGAATCTGTTTTGATATTTTCTGATTCCCATCAGGATAATTTTCCAAAAACTTGTTTCATTTGTCTTGAATTATATTTATATGTGTGTGCCTGGCGTACAGCAGCCCTAGCTTTACTCCCCAAAATGGCATATACCAAGCATGGTGCAACTGATCTATCCTTCCATAATTTGAGAGTGGGAGTCAGGATAATTAGGAGTTTGAGGTGTCATGCTTGGCTGTATAATGGGTTTGACGTTAGCTTAGTCTGAAAATTTTAAATATATAAATTTTCATTCCTTAAAATGTAATTATATCTCTAAGATCTATAAAGAAGATGTACAAGGTGTTTCCATGGTTCAGGTTCTGTATTCCAAGAGTTGAATTTCAATTACTGGAATAATACTATAATGTAGATCCCTGACTAATTCACACTATAAGAAATGAAAGCCTGCAGTAAGGGCCAGACAACCGTTGCTCTTCTGTCTGTCTGTGTTCTGTGTTTTTCTTTATGTTGTAATAGTAATTTACATAGTAGGCCACACCCTTAGCTAACTAAACATAGGCTGCCCTTATCTCTACAAAACTTATCACACTCCTCAGGGTGTTTGCTTTTTGTTTTCTCAAACAGTTTATCTGCCCTGGCTGTCCTGGAACTTTTTGTAGACCAGACTGGCCTAGAACTCAGAGATCAGCCTACCTCTGCCTCCCTGCCTCCTGAGTGCCGGGTTTAAAGCCTTGCACCACTCATGCCTGGAAACACTCTCCAGTTTTTAAACTCATGTTCACAGCTGCTACCTTACATTCCTGTGCTCGGTGTGTTCATGGAACTGACTGCCATGTTAAACTTCTCTTTAAGGAGTAGAAAGGAACAAAACTAAGTTAAGCTATGATTTCATTATTTCTTATATATCTTATTATTTTAAACAATTTTTAAAGTTAAATATATTTTGATCATATTCCCCCCAAGTCCTTCCATATCTGCTCCCCCTCCCTACCCACAGACCCAACTTTAAGTTCTTTCTCTAAAAACAAACAAAAAACCAATACCATAACAAAACCCTCCAAAACCAAGGAAAAACTGTGGAGTCCATAATATGCTGGTCAACAACTCCTGAACCTGAAACCTGCCCTGGAGTGGTTGGTATACCCAATGTCACTCCGTTAAGAAGAACTTATTTTCTCTTTCCCAACAGATATAAATGACATTTCTTCTGTTTTTTAGCATTTGCTCTAGTGGCTAAGTTTTAATTTGTTCATTCATTCATTCATTCATTCATTCATTCATCTTTTTAAAATATGACAAATTTAAAAAATAGTAAGATAAAACAAAGACTCTCACATTGAACTTGGACAAAACAAACCAACGGAAGGAAAAGTGCCCGAGAGAAGGCACAAGAATTGAAGATTCACTCATTCACACGTTCAGGAATCCCACAAATTCACTTACCTGGAAGCCACAGTATAAGCACAGAGGGCTTGGTGTAGACCCGTGCAGGCCCTGTGCATGCTGGTTCTTTTTTTAGACCAGTAGTATCTGATTTTACCCTAGGTCCTCGGGCTGTCTACTCTCAGATTCTTGGTCACCCAGGCAGGGTCAGGTCCATCTCATGTAATGGGCCCAAGGTAAATTGAGATATTATTTGGTGACTCACACACGCTTTGTGCCACCATTGCCCTAGCATACTTTGCAGGTAGTACGCCACTGTAGATAAAGAGTTGCTGTCTAGCTTGGTGTTTACATTGCCCTTTTGAAAGTGTATAGAGCACCTTCCTGTACCAAAGTCCCTGGAACTAGGTCTTTGCACCTTGACACAGAACATTTCTGAAAGTGATGATTAAGTGCTTCTAGAATAAGGGTGACTGGTACTAGGTTAGATTCAATTGTTCCAAAACAGATGAATGCCACTCTAGCTGTTGCTTTATACACAGAGAGTCTTTCTTGCTATATGTACAGTCTTTGACACTGTAATCCTGTAATGGGAGAAAGGGAACAAAGATATTTGATTTTGTTCAAATATCACTACACTATCACCAACTAACATAATCAGCAAGTCGATGCTTTTTTTGATGAAATCATGAAAGGCAAACTGTCAAAATTGTCTTGAGATTTATTTTTAAGAAAAAAATAAATAAATAAATTGTAAAGAACAGAACAGTAAAGGAGAAAAGACTATACAAAGCTGTTTGACTGAAAATCTTGTATTAATTGGAATTCAAACCCAATTGTCAGCCCTGAAACATATACTCAAGTAACATTATTCAGACTGAGCAGGTTATATTTAGGAATATATATGTATATACATACATTCATATAACAACAGTTAATGAAAAAGAGTGGCCAAGAATTTGAAATAGAGCAAGGAAGGGTATATGAGAGAGTGTGGCGAGAAGAAAGGGAAGGGAGACATGATGTAATTATCTTATAATCTCAGAATAAAAGAAATAAGAAAAAAAGCATAAAGTAAAATAAAATAATTATGATTGTGCACGTGCTTTTGATAATATGCCCATAGAGGGGAATTCAGGTGAAAAAATAGTTCAGGGTCAGCTTTTAAAATCTTAAGTCTCCTTTAACCAGATCTCTTTTCCAAGCAGCAAACCCTTCTTTACTCTTGAAAATAATCATAGATTTCCCCCTGCTACATCCTTCACTCTGCCTACTCCCTTGTTTTAGACACTGCTGAGGTTTACCTAGGTTTTACTGGTATTTGAAAGCTCTAGGGCTCCTTCCAGATCATGCCAACCTTTAATCACATGAATGTTATATACACCCTCTGTATCCAAGAAAATCCATACACTGTGATAGGAAGACCCTTTTCCCTGATGTGTGTCCTTAGGCCCTAAACGTGGAAACGTCAACATTGTGAGCCAGAGGCTGCCAAACTTCTCATGCCAGGCAGTGAGAGAGCTGGTTATTTAGAGCTCTTCCCCCTTACACTGATATACAAATTGTTATGGAGAAATCATGATTGAACTTTTCCAAGTGTCATCACTTGAATATACGTAAAACACCTTCCAAAAATTGAATTATGTTGTTGTACATGTATGTAAATGTATTGTTTCATCACAGTTTTGATTATTTATATTTAATTGTATATTTATTTTATGTATTGTGAAGTCTCACTCTGCTGCCCAGACTCAACATGGAATTTCTGGGACTAAGAGTTCTTCTAGTCTCAGCCTCCCTAATGCCTAGGATTACAGGCTTGTACTACCATACACAGGTATTTACTTATGTAACCTCCCTTTCCCTGAAGACAGATAACTTTTTAGAAAATAAGTTTTTGAATCTTTTTTTTTCTGAAATTCTAAGATTGATCACTTACTCCTGGAATTAAATGATGTATTATCAATGTGACTGCCATGAGGGTTGAAGCAATTTCTTAGTTGCTGAGTTGATAGGCAGTATGTTCTTCTTTGAGGCCTGATGGAGCTCCCTGCCTCAGAAAGAACCAAAAAGTTTCCAGAACATTAATTTTAAATCATCAATTACATAACAAAACAACTATAGAACTAGAGAAATGATAAAATAAGTAGGATCCTTTTGTAGTACTACCCATGATCCCTTTAAATCATGCTGTTATTTAGTTAAAACAGAGAAGGACATGTTACAGCTCTTCTTTATAACAACAAAATGAGTAAGTTGATCTGCTGCTGTGGTAGTATTTTAGCTAGGGTTTCTATTGCTGTGAAGGGACACCATGACCATGGCAACTCTTATAAAGGAAAACATGATATTGGGACTGGCTACAGTTCAGAGGCTAAGTCCATTATCATCATGGTGGGAAATATGGTGGCTCACAGACAGACATGGTGCTGGAGATAGAGCTGAGAGTCCTATGTCTGGATTGGCAGGCAGCAAGAAGAGAGAGTGATAGTGGGCCTGGCTTGAGCATCTGAAACCTCAAAGCCCGCCTCCAGTGACACACTTCCTCCAATAAGGCCACCCCTACTCCAAGGCCACACCTCCTGATAGTGCCACTCTCCATGGGCCTATGGGGACCATTTTTTAATCCAAACCACTCAGAACTATTGCTTCAAAGGTATGATGCTCTTGGCCTTAGAAAAATAAAGGTCAGTCAGTACTTATATGAACTATGGTTGACTCGCAAAATTTTGGTTAGGATCCTTATTATGGGGCAGAGATATGGCTGTGATTCATTGCTTTCAAGAAAAAACCTTTCACTTGGTTTCTTTCATAACTGGTAGATATTTTCTTCCTCAATTTACAAATGAAAGTGTTAGGAACAAGAGTCCCTGTGGTTCCTTAATTAACCTGGAAAATTTCCATGAAGTTAAACTGTCTACTTTACCTCTTGAGAATTGAATTTAATATATTCTAGTATGTTAAATTGCTTGTACTCCAAGTATTCTCCAACCAGGAACATCCTAAGGCTGTGACTCTAAGTAAGACACTTGTACAGGAAAACTGCAGTGTGCTAACCTTGTGCTAGTATTTTTTTTCCTGATTATTTCCTTTATTTTCTTGAGATTATATCTTTTCCCCCTTCCCTTTTTTTCTCCAAACCTTCCCATACATACCTCATTGCTCTCCTGCAAATTCATGACCTCGTTTTTCACAATTTTTGATATTTATTCATAAATACATAAGTTCAGCATGCTCAGCCCACATAAGCACACTAGTGGTTACTTAATACCGAATAGTCACCCTTAAAAACATACTTACACTGGGTGGTGGCACACACCTTTAATCCCAGCACTTGGGAGGCAGAGTCAGGAGAGAGACCCTGTCTCAAAAAGACTAAAAAAAAAATACATATAAGTAACATGATATAGAAGGGGATTGGTTTAAGGTTATTGACTGGTACAAATTGGGCTTCTGGGAAAATAACTACATGAATGATACTTTGCATTCTCACTTGAATAAAAATATTTTT